CCGTGACTCCCTTGTCCACTCCACACTCCCCTCCAGCTCCACCACACCCGGCACTTCTCCCTGCAACCGCAGGAAGTGCTACACCTGCCCCCATACTTCCTCCGTCACCCCCATCCCAGGCCCCAAGAAGACTTTCCACATCAAGCAGATGTTCACCTGCACATCTGCCAATGTGGTATACTGCATCCGCTGTACCCGGTGTGGCTTCCTCTACATCGGGGAAACCAAGCGGAGGCTCGGGGACCGCTTTGCAGAACACCTACGCTCGGTTCGCAATAAACAACTGCACCTCCCAGTCGCGAACCATTTCAACTCCCCCTCCCATTCCTCAGACGACATGTCCATCCTGGGCCTCCTGCAGTGCTACAACGATGCCACCCGAAGGTTGCAGGAACAGCAACTCATATTCCGCTTTGATACCATTGGGCTGCAGGGTTCCCATGTGGATTTCACAAGTTTCAATCTTTCGCTTCCTTGTACCGCATCCCAAAACCAGTCCAGCTCATCCCTGCCTCCCTAACCTGTTCTTCCTCCCGCTTATCCCGTCCTCCCAACTCAAGCCGCACCTCCATCTCCTACCGACCAACCTCATCCCGCCCCCTTGACCTGTCTGTCCTCCCTGGACTGACCTATCCCCTTCCTAACTCCCTACCTACACTCTCCTTTACTGGCTCCATCCCCGCTTCTTCGACCTGTTTGTTTCCTCTCCACCTATCCTCTCCTCTATCCCTCTTCTATCCGCCTCCCACTCTCTCCCTATTTACTTCTGAACCCCCTTCCCCTCCCCCTTTTCTGATGAAGGGTCTAGGCCCGAAACGTCAGCCTCTCTGCTCCTATGATGCTGCTTGGCCTGCTGTGTTCATCCAGCCCTGCACCTTGTTGTCTCGGATTCTCCAGCATCTGCAGTTCCTACTATCTCTGATTCAATCACTATGCACATGTAAATTCAAGGTTGACTTGATGACAGGGTACTGGCCTCCGTGGAGTTATTTCACAACCATTCTTTTCAAAGAAGCTGAAGATTCAAAACAAAAAAATCCATTTTCTAAAAAATCATTATTTTTCTGTCTTTAGAAAATATGAAAAATTGCAATTTCTTTGTTTTGAACATGCTGATCATTTTTCAGTAAAGCAACTGAGTTTCAATTAAGTATATCCAACATTGAACTGTGTTGCAGGCTGTAAAATGAGATGTACAATGGGTCGTGTAAATGCAGAGTGCAGTCGATGCATGTGTGAAGATCATCTACTTTACGGTTCTGTACGTCTTGAAGATGGCGCTCCTGCCTCTAAGGCAACTGTCCAGCTGTGGGGAGACTCTAATCAAATCCTGACAGTCTGTGATGAAAAGGGAAAGTTCAGGATTCCTGGTCTTTGCCCTGATGGTAAAACGGTGTTAACAATTAGGAAGGCTTATTATGGAACAATGCTTCATATACTGAGCGTAACCAACAGCAAAATGTCTACCGTTGAAGTGAAACTCAAGAGATCTGGTAAATTATTTCTCCGAATATAAATTGTTTGAATTGCACTGTATCTCATTAGACACAAAACAGTAAAATATATTCTACATTGATCCAAATCTTCCCATCTGGGTTGCAGTCCCTATTTCTGACCTAGATGGGACAAAACATTACAAAAACACAAGTTGCTGGAAAAGCTCAGCAGATCTAGCAGCCTCTGTGTGGAGAGAAATCAGAGTTAACATTTTGGGTCCAGTGACCCTTCCTCAGAACTGATGGTAGCTAGGAAAATGTTGGTTTTATGCTGAAGATAGGTTGGGGGGAGGGGGTAAGGAGTAAACAATAGGGGGAAACAGAGCCCAAAGAAAGAGAAGAAAGTTGCCCAGACAAAGGAGTGGATAACGATTGGCCTGGGAGAATAAATAGCTACTAATGGGTCAATAATTAGCTAACACTGGGTTGAGTGTAATAGCAGACCATGTGATAACAAGACCTAGGGTGTGGGGGTTGGGGTAAGGACACGGGAGAAGGTGTCTTAAGGCCTTAAATTGTTGAACTTGATATTATGCTCCAAAGGCATGGTGGCTCAATGGTTAGCACTGCTGCCTCACAGCAGTAGAGACCCGGGTTCGATTTTACCTTCGGGTGACTATCTGTTTGGAGTTTGCACATTTTCCTCGTGTCTGCGTGGGTTTCCTCCAGATGCTCTGGTTTCCTCCCACAGTCCAAAGATGTGCAGGCTAGGTGGATTGACCATGCTAAATTGCCCATTGTGTTCAGGGATGTGTAGATTAGGTGGGTTATGAGGGATGGATCTGGGTGGAATGCTCAGAGGTCGGTGTGGACTTGTTGGGCCGAAAGGCCTGTTTCCACACTGTAGGAATACTATGTCCTATGTACATCCAGAAGGTTGTTGAGTTCCCAAGTGGAGAAAGTTATCTTCTTGCCCTTCTGTGTTATTTCGAGTTCCATTCTCAGTGATATGCCTGTTGATACAGATACAGTCTAACAAATTATGTAGAGACCTTCAGAGTGAATCTTTACAGAAATGAAACCTCTTTTTGCAGCAATGGTTACTGTAGCCCAAGAAGTACGATCAGGAGCTGCCGTTGAAGGGGATGAGAACCAGTAAATACCTTTGTCAGCATTTACTGTGAACCAGGAAGAGCAGCAGTGCTTTTGCCAACATCCAGACCCTCCTGATCATATTTCCCCATACACGTGCAAGGAAGTATTCAATGCCAGACTCAACAGCAGCCTATTCCCCTACCTCCTGATCACAGCACACCCATCCTTTAGTTTGTCCAATTTGTTTCCGAGGATCCCTGGCAGTATTTACAGTATTCTAGCTGTGGTCTGACTAGTACCTTGCATAGTTTTAGCAACACCTTCCAATTTTTATACTCCATTCCTTTGTGATATGAAGGGAACATTCCATTTGTCTTTTGTAGACTTTTTAAGTTCTCTTGATAGCTTACTTTCCTATCTATCCTTGTCATCTGCAAATTTAACTACCATACTCTCACTTCTTTCCCCCAAGTTATTAACAACTGTAAATAGATGAGGCCTCTTCACCAATGTCGCCTCTTCACATTCTGACTTCTTATTTTGTGAAATAACTTTTGATGTGGGACCTTATCAAATGCCTTTTGGAAATTCAACTGCATTGTATCTACAGGTTCCCCTTTATGCATCTTCCTTATTGATCCCTTTAAAAATGCTAAATTAGTCAAACATACTCTTCCTTTCACAAACCCATGTTGATTCTGCCTGCAACAAAAAACAGAAGTTACTGGAACAAAAACAAAGTTGCTGGAAAAGCTCAGCAGGTCTGGCAGCATCTGTGGAGGAGAAAACAGAGTTAACATTTCGGGTCTAGTGACCCTTCGTCAGAACTGATGGTGGCTGGGAAAACGTCAGTTTATATGCAGCAGATAGGGAGGGGGTGGGGTAGGGAGTAAACGATAGGATACAGCCCAAACAGAGAGAATAGTTGGACAGACAAAGGAGTTGTTAACAATCAGGTTGGGTGGGTGAATAGTTGTTAATGGGAGAGAGAGAGACAACAAGGTGCAGAGCTGGATGAACACAGCAGGCCAAGCAGCATCATAGGAGAGGAAGGCTAACGTTTCGGGCCTAGACCCTTCATCAGAAAGGGACTGTTAGTGACTAACAACAGGTAGTGTGTAATGGCAGGCTGTGTGATAACAAGGCCTGTGTGTGGGATAGGGGGTTAGGACATGGGAGAGCTAAGCCTGACTGTATTATGATTTGCAAATGCACTCCTACTACCTCCTTAAGAATAGACTCCAACAGTTTTCCAATGAAGCTGTTAGGTAAACTGATCTGTAGTTTCCAGCTTTCTGTCTGCCTCCTTTTCTTGAATAGAGTTGTTACTTTTGCAATTCTCCAATCTGCAGAGACTTTTCCAGAATCTAGGGAATTTTGGAAGATCACAATCAATGCATCTCCTGGCTCTGTAGCCATTTTTATGATTTTGGGATAAAATTCATCAGGTCAGGAAACAAGATAGCCTTTAGATCTAATAGTTTTTCTATCACATTTTCCTGGAGATTGTGGTTATTTCACATTGTTCCATTCCATTTAGTTCCTCATTTCCCAGTACTCTTGAGTTTTCTTCTGTAGTGAAAAAAGACACAAAATACTGCTGAATGTTTCTATCATTTCTTTGTTTCCCATTATTAGTTTGTCTTTAAGGAACCTGCTCTGGTGGTCACCTTCGAAAATTCCAGACTCTGGAACAGTTCTTACAGATTGGAAGGTACCTCATGTAACCCCAGTATTTCAGAAGGACAGCAAATAGAAAGCAATGAACCATAGGCTGATTAGCGTGTCATCCGTACTGGGAAAAATACTAGACTCCATTAGAAAAGATTCCATAGAGGAGCACTTGGAAAATGGTGACAGGATCAGACAGAGTCGTAATGGATTTATGAAGAGGAAGTCATGCTTGACCAATCTACTAGACATTTTTGAGGACGTAACAAGTAGAGTGGGTAAGGAGGAGCCATAGATTTGGTTTGCTTGGACTCTCAGAAGGCTTTAAATAAGGTCCCACATAAGAGATTATTGTGTAAAATTAAAGTGCATAGCATTGGGGGTTGTGTACTGAAAAGATAGAGAACTTGTTGGTAGACAGGGAATAAAGAGGTCTTCTTCTGAGTGGGGTACTGCATGGATCGGTGCTTGGAGACCAGATATTCAAAATATATGATTTAGTGAGGAAACTATGTGTTGTATCTTTTGCGGATGACAAAAAAATGGACGGAAAGTGAACTGTGAGGAGGATGCAGAAATGGTTCGGTGTGATTTGGACGGGCTAAATGAATCGGCAAATGCTGCATAATGTGAATAAATGTGAGGTTACCCAATCTGGTATTAAAAACAGGAGAGCACATTTATTGTCTGAACAGCAATAGATTGGGAAAGGATAAGGTGCAATGAGACCTGGATGTCCTTGTACATCAGTCGCTGATAGCAACAATGTAGGTGCAGCAAGTGGTGAAGAAGGCAAATGGTATGTTGATTTTCACAGTGAGAGAATTTGAGCACAGGAGCAAGGGTGTTTTACTGTAGCTGTACAGAGCATTGGTAAGACCGCACCTGGAATATTGTGCAGTTTTGGTCTCCTTATCTGAGGAACGATGTTCTTGCAATTGAGAGAATGCAACAAAGGTTTACCAGACTGATTCCTGTGATGGTTGGCCTGACAAATGGTAAGCAATTGATTGGTTAGGACTACATTCATTAGAATTTAGAAGAATGAGGGAAATCTCTTAAAAACCTACAAAATTCTAACAAGATTAGACAGAGTAGATGCAGGAAGCATGTTTTTGATGACCGAGAACTCCAGAACCAGAGTCGACAGTCTCAGGATAAGAGGTAGACCATTTAGGATTGAGGTGAGGAGAAATTTATTCACCCAGGGAGTGGTGAGGTGATGGATTTTTCTGCCACAGAAAACTGTTCAGGCTAAAACATTGAAGACTTTCAAGAAAGATGTAGATATAGTTCTTAGGACTAAAGGGATCAAAAGTTATGGGGGCGATAAAGTGGGAACAGAATGCTGAGTTGGCTGATCAGCCATGATGAATGACGGAGCAGGCTGAAAGGGCTGAATGGCCTGCTTTTCACTTTGGGGGTGCAGTGGCCTAATGGTATTCTCAGCAGATTAGTAATCTGGACACCTAATAATATTCCGGGAACCTGAGTTTGAATCCTACCATGGCAGATGGTGGAATTTGAATTCAATAAAAATCTGGAATTAATATTCTAATGATGACCATGAAACCTTTGTCAATTGTTGTGGGGAAAATAAAACTATTTAGCTCATTAATGTCCTTTGGGGAAAGAATCTGCCATCCTTACCTGATGTTCATATGTCTGCAGACCCACAGCAATGTAGTTGAGTCTTAACTGCTCTGTGGCAACTAAGGATGGTCAGTAAATATCCTAGCCAGTCATGTCCACATCCCAGGAACAAAATGAAACCTTATATTTAAAATAAATAAATATAAAGGTCTTTCATTTCCTTAGTTCAGCCAGGGAAGGAATTGGAAGACTTGGACAAAGTACCTGTATAACCAGGGAACAATTAATGTAACTAGCAATTGAAGATACATTCAGTCTGGGATTAATCTCAATTTACTGTGATTGTTCAATCTTTACTAAATCTTGATCTTTGCGCATTACAGAGAAACCATATATCAGGAAGCACCCATCAAACAAAGTCAGGCATGAGGGGCAAAGTGTAATGTTCTGCTGCAAAGTTCAGTGCAATCCCCCACCAGACAAGTACTTCTGGTAAGAATCCTTTTTGGTAAATTTCTTATTTGTATTTTTAACTCTTCTTGACGTCTTCTCTCCATTTCTCTGTAAACTCTCTATCTTCCTCCAATTGGATGGGAGGCAATATCCCAATGGTATTACCACTGGACTGTTAATAGAGACCCAGGTAATGTTCTGGAGAGTCCAATTTGAATCACACCACAGCTGATGGCAGAATTTGAGTTCAATTTTTTCAAAAAAGCTGGAATTGTTGTTGATTGTCCGAAAAACCCATGTGGTTCACTAATGCCCTTTAGGGAAGGAAACTGGTTTGGCTTGCATGTGACTCCAGACCCACAGCAATGTGTTTGACTCTTAACTGCCCTCTGGGCAATTAGGGATGGGCAATAAATGCTGCCCTAACCAACAACGCCCTCATTCTGTAAATAAAATTTTAAAAATTGAACTTTTAAGAACTTAAGCAGAGCCACTAATGTTGAAGTAAACACAGGGATGCACTAGACAGTAGATGCTTTAGAGAGTTTGATGAGGGTGATACAGAGAACAAAAAAACAATACAGCACAGGAACAAGCCCTTCAGCCCTCCAAGCCTGTGCTGCTATGTTTCGCTCTTCCATACTAAAACTGTCCTCACTTACAGGATCCATATCCCTCTGTTCCCTTCCTATTCATGTATTCATCCAGGTGCTTCTTGAATGCTGTTATTGTGCCTGCTTCCACCACCACCTCTGCCAACATGTTCCAGGCACTCACCACCCTTTGTGTGAAAAATTTGCCTCACACATCTCTCTTTAACTTCTCCTCTCACACATGGAACCTGTGTTCCCTAGTAATTGACCCCTCCATCCTGGGAAAAAGCCTCATATTTTCCAATCTATCCATGCCATTCACAATCTTTTAAACTTCTATTAGGTCACCCCTCAACCTCCTGCATTCCAGTGAAAACGAACCTAGTCTATCCAACCTTTCTTCATAGCTAAAATCCCCTCGACATCCCGGTAAACCTTTTTCTGTAACCTCTCCAAAGTATTCACATCCTTCTGGTAGTGTGGCGATCAGAACTGTACACAATATTCCAAGTGTGGCCTAACTAAAGTTCTATAAAGCTGCAGCGTAACTTGTCTATCCTTACACTGAATGTCCCTTGCAATGAAGCTAAACATGCCATTGGCCTTTTTTTTCAACCTTATCTACCCACACTGCCTTCAGTGATCTGTGGACCTGCATGCCCAGATGTCTCCGCATATCAATACTCCTTAGGGTTCTGCCATTCACTGTATAGTTTCCACCTGTACATGACCTTCCAAAATGCATCACCTCACATTTGTTCATATTCAACTCCATCTGCCATTTTTCTACCCATGCCTCTAACTGATCTATATCCTTCTGTATCCTCTGACAATCCTCCTCACTATGCGCAACTCCACCAACCTTTGTATTGTCCGCAAACTAACTAATTCGACCAGCTACATTTTCCTTTCGTTCATTTATGTAGACCACGAACAGCAGAGGTCCCAGTACTGGTCCCGTGGAACACCACTGCCACGGCTCCATTCCGAAAAGCATCCTTCCGCTGCTACCCCCTGTCTCCTAAGACTAAGCCAGCTCTGTATCCATCTTGCCAGCTCACTCCTGATACCATGTGACTTCACATTTTGTACCAGTCTACCATGAGGGATCTTATCAAGGCTTTACTGAAGTCCTTGTAGACAACATCAACCACTTTTCCCTCATCAATCATCTTCGTCACCTCCTCAAAAAACTCGATCAAGTTAGTGAGGCATGACCCCCCGCCCCCCCGCCCCAGGTGATGGAGGTGAGGGATAGGGATGAGGGTGGGGGAGGTGAGAGCTGAACTCAGAATGCTACCATTTTGTCATAGAGGTCAATTTTGACAGGAATTTCCAGAGTGCTACCTCCTTCCACATACTGCTTTCAAGAACCAGGAGTAACAGCATAAAAATAAAGTACAGCAGATGTTGTGAATCTGAAATGAAAACAGAAAATGCTGAAAGTACCATAAAGGCATGCCAACATTTGTTGAATATATGAAACAAAAAGAAAAGGCTAGAGAAACTCAGCAGGTCTGGAAGTACCTGTGGTGAGTGAAATACAGGTAACATTTCTTCAGAACTGAGGAAAAGCCATACTGGACTGAAAATATGAACTCACAGCATTCTCAGTGTTAGTTTCAGCATGGAGCCAGCATCTTTGTCTTCAGCTGAAAAGTCCTCTGTGTTGACAATTCACTTGAGGTTTAGGAACAATGAGGAATTGAATGACCAAACTGTGAGTTGGTCTTAAGGGCTTCATTCAACATGAAAATATTTATTGTCATTCTGTGATGTTCTGTATGAATACAGAGACCAGGAGGCAACTCCTCTCATCATTGTTTCCATGGGTTGGAAGCAGAAAGTAGGCTTCAAAGAGGGTTAAATATCATCCAGTGTTTCGTTGTGGGGAGCCAATGGCCTAATGGTATTATCGCTGGACTGTTAATCCATAGAACCAGGTAACATTACTGGAACCTGGGTTTGAATCCTGCAATGACAGATGCTGGAATTTGAATTCAAAAATGACTGGAATTAAGAGTCTAATGATGATCATGAATCCATTGCCAATTGTCGGGAAAAACTCAACTAGTTCACTAATGTCCTTTAGGGAGGGAAACGGTCATCCTTACCTGGTCTGGCCTACATGTGACTCCAGATCCACAGCAATGTGGTTGACTCTTAACAGCTCTCTGGGCAATTAGGGATGGACAATAAATGCTGCCTGGCCGTCGACACAGTCATCTCATGAATGAATTTAAAAATTGACCTAGCATTAATAGTGATGTAATAGGCCACCATCATCTAAAGATGGACACCTCTTTATTACTCACCCCTCATCCAGTCTCCCTATTGTCTTTCCTTTACTAAACTTTCCTAAGGTTGTTGGATTTCTCCATCTTCTTTCACCTGTATCCATTTTATTCATTTCAGAGGGCAGTGAAGTGTCAACCACATTGTTGTGGTTAGAGGATTTTAAAGGACATTAGTGAACCAGAAGGCTTCTTATAACAGTGATTATGTAGTCAGCATTAGATGGGTTTTTTTTTAATTAAATTCAAATGTTACCATCTGCCAGTTAAAATTCAATCTCACATAACAAAGGGCTATTAACCTTGGGAATTGATTATAAGTCTAGTGATCTCCCCCATCAGGAGTCTTCATAAGTTACAATCCAAACTCACTTTTGGTTTAAGTTTTCACCCCTCTATCTTGCTTACTTTGATTGTCTTTGGATTACAGGCTGAATTTTACTAACATCACCTAAGTGTCAATTTCAGGGAATTTCATGGAGATTTCCATCTGTGAGCTCTGGCAATTCATCTGACACAAACCTCCACAGCTCACCATACATATGTTTGTACCATACCTCTCTAAAATACCGCACTCACATTGTATCTTTCACTTGCAGTGGACATACTCACCATTGCCTGCTCCTTTGGGATTTTTGCCACTGACATCATATTTAAAAGACCAGCTGTGCAGCAGGTCAGCTGTGGCCAGTATTACAACCAGACCCAGGATGAGAACCCCAGTCCATTTCAGGTCCACACTGTTTACTGAAACTGTCTGAAACCATTAACTCTTGGATGAAGAGGGATTAGTTGGGTTCCTCCTTCATTTGTCCACCCTCTCAGTTGGATACAAGGTTAAATTTAAAAATGATCCCTTCCCTTATGGATAACTTTCTCCCAGAACCAAATGAACTCATGCTTTAAAAGGATTCAGTTTAACCAGATTTTAAAGAATTAACAATGACTTAGCAACACACATACACATCAATTAGAATTAAGAAATAAGTCCAAAAAGTTTAAAAAATATATGGAACAGTCTTTGAATTGTTTGCAAAAAGTGGAGAGTTAAACATTGAGGCTGTTGCAGTGAAGGCTGTTAGTGGCGACCAAGTTGACAGCTGAGCATTCAATTTCACAGTCGCTAGTTTCACAGATTGTTTGAGATGCTGTAGTTCCAATTACTTTTGACCAAGATAGTCAGAATGTTGGAATTCTAAGAGTCCCTTTGTTGTCATTTCCCTTTTCCCTTTTTTTAACCAATTTGCAGCTCCCTGAGTAAGAGAGCTCCGTTACCTGCAACATAAGGGTAACTAGGGATAGATCTTCAACTGTGACCACCACAGTACACTAACGCTCCATAAGACCCTGAGATATAGGAGCAGAATTAGGCTATTTGGTCCATTGAGTCTGCTTTGCTATTCATTCCTGCCTGATATGTTTCTCAACCCCATTCCCTTGTGTTCTCTCTCTAACCTTATATCGCCTTATTAACTCTATCTCTGTCTTAAATACACTCAGCGACTTAGCCACCACAGCGTTCTGCAGTAATGAGTTCCACAGATTCTCACCTTCTGGCTAAAGAAATTCGTCCTCATCTAAGTTCTAAAGGGTCTTCCTTCACTCTGAAGCTGTGCCCTCGGGTCCTAGTCTCTCCTATTTTAGTGAAAACATCTTCTCCATATCCACTCTATCCAGATTGCTCCCCTCATCCTTCTAAACTGCACTGAGTATAGGCTGAGAGTCCTCAACCATTCCTCATATGACAAGCCTTTCATTCCTGGGATCATTCTTGCAAATGTCCTCTGGACCCTGTCCAAGGCCAGCATATCCTTCCTTAGATATAGGGCCCAAAACTGCTTACATATTCCAAATGCAGTCTGACCAGAGCCTTGTACAGCCTCAGCAGTACATCTATGCTCTTGTATTCTAGCCTTCTTGAAATGAATGCTAACATTGCATTGACTTCCCAACTGCCAACTGAGCCTGCATGTTAACCTAAAGAGAATCCTGAACTAAGACTGTCCCTTTGCACTTCAGATTTCTGAAGTCTTTCCCCACCTGTTCTTCTTGCCAAAATGTATAACTTCACACCTTGCCACCTTGTATTCAATCTGCCACTTCTTTGCCCATTCTCCTGGCCTGTCCATTACCTTCTGCAGCCTCCCTGCTTCCACAACATGGCCTGTCCCTCCACCATATGTCATCTGCAAACTTTCATGAATAGTTACGGGCCTAACACTGAACCCTGCGGAACTCTGCTGATCACCGGCTGCCATCTGAAAAAGACCATTTTATCTCCACTTCTATCTTCTGCCAATCAACCAATCCTCTATCCATGCCAGTACTTTGTCCCTAACACCATGGGTTCTTATATTATTTAGCAGCCTTCTGTGTGGCACCTTGTCAAAGGTCTTCTGTAAATCCAAATGGCTCATACCCATTGGCTCTCCTTTGGCTAGCTTGCTCATTACTTCCCCAAAGAATTCTAACAGATTTGTCAGGCATGAACTCCCCTTGATGGAGCCATGTTGACTCAGGGCTATTTTACCATGCACTTCCAAGTATTCTTCATTCTCATCCTTAATGGTGGACTCCAAAATCTTACCAATGACCGGGATCAGGCTATCTGGCCTCCCTCCCTTCTTAAACAAGGGTGTGAGGTGAACCATTTTCCAGTCCACTAGGACCTTCCTGACTCCAGCGATTCTAGAAAGATCACCATCAGTGCATCCACAATCTCCTCAGCAATCTCCTTCAGAAACCTGGGGTTTAGTCCATCATATCCAGGTGATTTATCCACCTTCAGACTTTTGAGCTTCCCCAGCACCTTCTCCTTAGTGATGGCCACTACATTCACCTCTACCTCATGACTGTCTTGAAGTTCTGGTATACTGCTAGTGTCTTCCACTGTGAAGTGGTATACCAAGACTGGTATATGTGAGATATTCACTCCCACAACTAATTAAAACTGGCATTTTAACCCCTTTCCTTGTGTTTTCCTCTTTGAAGGATACACAAAGTTTGGAATGTAATCCGTAGGACATGACTTTCTGTTGAACAGAGAGTCATCAGGCCCTTGTTATGTTTGTAGTCACAAGATCACAGTCCAAACTGTTTATTTTTAAGCTTCTTTCACATCAGAAGGTGTGATATTCCATTTTCCTCTCCCTTCCTCTCTTCTCCCTCTCCCCTTTTAGCCCTTTTTAAAGATTACATTTCAGAATTACAAGTTAGAAGTACCCACAGTACTTCAAGATAGGATAACTCTGAGTGACCAGACCCTTGACTGATTTCTGGATTGGCTGCACTTAACCTGCAGAACTGACTATGGCCCACTCCCTGAGTGATACTGAGTCTCTGACTTTGAACATCCCAGTTGGCTGACAGGCTGTGACAAAGTCCGTGGACTGAGATCAGACAATGCTCTTGACTCTGTGGTGACATCCCCTGACTGACGACAGTCCCCCTTGTCTTGACCAAGGTCTACTCTCCTTAAACCTTGAGAGATGGCCATTAAGTGCCTGCCCGTGCATTGTGTTTGCTGTGTAAGCTGCTAGCATGTGCTGCGGGTGTGATGTTGATGAAGCACAGTACCATTTGGCAATATGTCCACCTCTTGTATGATCCTTGCTGACAACCATGACTAATTGCTTGGCTTTGTGGTTCCATTAAAAGGCAAGCAAGGACAGACGTATTGTAAGCCTTTAAGTTCTAAATGAGGTGGCAAAGTGTAAAAAGGCAAGGAAAAGTAGAGTCACTGGGAGTGTCCAAATAAGTGTGAAAAGGGTTAGTGCTAGCAAAGCAAGTGAAGAGGTCTGAGATGTGAAACCACTGAAACTGAAAACTCAACAGGTCTGTCAACATCCATGGAGAGAAACCAGAATTAACATTTCTAGTCCAATGACCCTTCTTCAGAATTAACAGCAGCTGGGAAAAGGTGGTATTTATCCTGATGATGCAGACTTGGGGGTAAAGGAGTGAATAGATAGGTAGAATAAGAAGGGGAAAGATTAAAACGGAAATCTCATCAATAAGAGAAATGAAACTTCTTCAAGGTGGACATACCTCAAAGAGATGTAACAGTGAACTAAACACTAAAATAAAACAAAGAACTGCAGATGCTGGAGATCTGAAACACACAAAAACACTGCAGATCTGGCAGCATCTGTGGAGAGAAAACCGAGGTAATGTTTCAGGTCCAGAGACTCTTTTTCAATGTTACCTTGCTGCAATGCATCAGATCCCTGTGAAGGAGTCTGGCAGCAACATTACAATGAAAGGTGTCAGTGAGCTCCAAAGTGCAGTGTTGAAGTGGAGAACTGTATTCCAAGTGAGTTGGAGATGTACCATGAAAATGTTTTGAGGCTGGTACATGTCCAATACCACCCTGTCTAGACAGGTCAGTGCCCATGGAACATGCCCTGAGATGCTGGGGACTGCACACCAAGCTGGGAGGCTCTGAGGAGCAAATGCAAGCCAGGTGCCCACTCTGACTTTCATGGTGGAAATTGTTGCCGACTAGTTTCTCTCCGCTTCATGGGAAAAGAGCAATAGAAATGATGTGAGGTTATCTGCTAATGAGATGGTAATACATACAAATAGGCTTCTTGCTGCCATCGGCCCTCCCACCAAGGTCCACCTTCAGCAATGCCCCGTCAACCCACCCCCACCGATCTCCCCATTCTGTTGCCAACACCCAACATGGATTCATCTATGGCAAGTCAGAATGGACTCTGTGGACTGAATGGCCTCCTGTGTTTTAAATGATTCTTTGCTTCCATAGCCATCCAATATGACCCAGATCAAAGGCAGCAATGGGAATTTGAAATCCTTGGATCGCATTGTGCTTTCCTGTTCAATTTAAATTCTTGTGTTTCTCTCCCTTTAACTTCTCCTCCACTCCTGTCTTTGCAGGTATCATAACAGCTCCCTGTTAGATGTGAAGACACATGGTTATCACAGTTCTCTCGTGTTAAGGCACCTTCAGCCACAACATGCTGGGCAATACTGGTGTCGAGCTAGTAACATTGCAGGCTCTGTTAAATCCAAGCCAGCAACACTGACAGTGATAGGTAATTAAACAACTGAATTCATTTCAATAACAGCTAGATATCATTTTCTGACTTAATTACCTTGTTGCCTGTATTGGGATCTAAGTAATTGGTTAATGCTTGAAATCAACTCACACACGTAACCCTCTTTCATGCACAATTGGGAGGATCACCTGAATGGACAAAATGCCACAGATGATTTGGTGATGGGAGAAAAAAAGAATGCAGTAGATCAGAAGAACAGGCATACCTGCTGCAAATAGATTGCAGCAGTTCAAGAAGGCAGCTCACCTTCTCAAGGGCAACTTGGGATCATCAATAAATGCTGGCCAGCCAGCAACATCCACATTCCATGATAAACAAGTTATATGAAATCATTCCTGACCTCACCACATACTGATCCACGTGCAGTCAATAGATTTACTTTTCAAGTGTAGCCATAGGAATGTGGTGACCACAAGTAGATCCCCAAACCTACAAGTCATAGAATCCCAACAGTGTGGAGAAAGGCCATTCAGCCTGAGCCCACACTGACCCTACGAAGAGCATCCCACACAGACCCACCCCATCCCTGTGACCCCAGATTTCCCATGGATAATCCACCCAGCTGACACATGACTGGACACTGTGGGCAATTTAGCATGGCCAGTCCACCTAAACTGCACATCTTTGGACTGTGGGAGGAAACTGGAGCACCCGGAGGAAACCCACGCAGACACAGGTAGAACATGCAAACCCCACACAAACAGTTTACTGAGGCTCGAATTGAACCCAAGTCCCTAGCACTGTGAGGCAGCAGTGCCAACCATTGACCCATCATGCCACCCCAAGTGCTGCCATAATGTGATAATGATCAGAGAATCTGATTTCACGGGCTTGGTTGAGGGATAAATATTGGCCAGAGCACCAAGAACTCGCTGTTTTTCTTTGAATAATGTCATAGAAAATGTTGACACTGACCTAAGAAGGCAAGCTGCAGCCTTGCTAGAGATGAGCTCTGTTAATCCAGGTCTCCCTCAGTGCTGGCCATCCAACAACGCAGCTCTCCTTCAGCAAAGGCAAAAAAAGCCTGGAAGATAAGTTTGTATAAAACCTTTGAAACTTTTTTTCCTTGGAACATCATGTCCAAGAAATAACTTCAGATTCAAAAATATAAATGACTTTGTAATATCATAGAATTGAAATGGTATAGAAGCAGCCATTCAACCCATCATATTTGTGCTGGCCATCATAAGGAACAGCTCATATTCCACCCTTCCTGAGCCCTCTCCTCTCAGACCTGCATATTCATCCTAATCAGATAATGTGAAATGTTTGGAAATTGCAGTCAAGTTCAAAGCACTGAAGGTGGCCACTTTGCCCATTGTGTCAGCCAGCCAAGAAACCTAACTCTTCTACCAATCTCTTAAAATCCATGTTCCTAAGTCACTGACTCTCTGCTATGAGAAGTAGGTCCTCCCATGTACTCTGTTGAGGCCCCTCACAACTTTATACATTTCAATCAAATCTTACCTCTTCAAAGAAGAAGAACCTCCAGCCTATCCAATAAAGCTCATTGCTGCAATTTTCCATCCTGGCCATTTCCTTGTAAATCTTGCATATAGCAAGAACTGCAGATGCTGGAGTCAGAGTCCATACAGTGTGGAACTAGAGGAACACAGCAGGTCAGGGTTTTAGACCCAAAACATCGACATTTTCCTGCTCCTCTGATGCTGCCTGACGTGCTGTGTTCATCCAGCTTCACTGTATTGACTCCTTGTAAATCTCTTCTGTCCCCATTTTTAGTGCAATTAATTTTTGCGATTTTAAATTAGTGCCAGTTTGGCCCAGTTAAGGCATGGTCACCTCTGAGTAATGAGTTTGGGGGTCAGCACACTAATTTGGAATGACATGTCAATGCAGGACTGAGAGTTTACATATCAACAATTTCAACTTCTTGTGATCAGGTGGGTGTTGAAGCTATTGTGGCATTTTATAAAAGAAGGCAGTGAATGTTCATGTGATGGTGACCAGAATTTCACCCTCGAAATACAGCACCAAAAAAAGGACTGAGCTTTCTATGGAATCTTCCTGTGTCTGCCTGACTAAGAGTCAGCATCTCTGAAATGCTTTGAGATTCTTCACGGAGATGTGACATAAAATAAACATCCAAGTTTAATATCAATGTTTTTGTTTTGACAGCTCTTGGTGCTCCTTCATGCAATCCCAAACCTGAGAGCCACTTAATACGGCTTCCTTATGACTGCTACCAGAATCTGACTCAGTCATTTTACTACAATGTGGGAAAATGTCCTGTTGCAGCATGCAGTGGAGAGCATGATCCAGAGCCACGATGCAAAGACACAGCAGCTTATTGCTGTGGGACAGTGAAGCTAGAGGAAAGGAAGATCTCCTGCACCAACTATATGCTTCCAATCAAGGTGGTAAGCAGGTGTGGCTGCCAAAAGTGTGTTGAAACCAAGACAATTGTCCGTGGCCATGCACTAGCTGCTGATAATGGTGAAGCCATGCGGTTTGGACTGATTTTCATGAGTGGAAAGAAGATTAGTATGACTGGGTACAGGGGAACATTTTCCATTCAGGTTCCTGCAGACATCGATCGGCTAGTACTTACCTTTGTAGATCGGTATGACAAGTTTGTGAACACAACAAAGATTCTTCCCTTTAACAAAAAAGGTGGTTCTGTCTTTCATGAGATTAAACTTCTAAGGAAGAAGCCAGCAGTCACATTGGATTGTTCTGTCAGCAATACCATCCCACTGGGGGCAATAGAAAGCCAAAGTCCCATAGCGGAATTGGAGATTCCTCCCAACTCCTTCTATAGACAGAATGGAGATATTTACAAGGGGTTAGTCAAAGCCAGTGTAACATTCCTAGATCCAAGGGATATCTCTTTAGCTCCAGCAGCCCAGAGTGATCTGAATTTCATTAATGAAGAAGGTGACGTTCTTCCTTTGAGGACATATGGCATGTTTTCTCTTGATTTTATAGATGAAGCAACTAAGGAAAGCCTCAGTGCAGGACAAGTGAAGGTTTTTCTGGACTCTGCACAGGTTAAAATGCCAGAACACTTGGAGAAAATGAAGCTGTGGTCAATGAACCCTGAAACGGGCTTCTGGGAAGAAGAAGGTGATTTTACATTTATTAGAAGTCGACGAGGTAAGCGAGAAGAGAGAACCTTCCTGGTGGGCAATATGGAGATTCGAGAGAGAAGACTTTTTAACCTTGATGTCCCTGAAAGCAGAAGGTGCTATGTGAAAGTTAGAACATTTCGAAGTGACCGCTTTATGCCAAGTGATCAGATGGAAGGTGTTGTTGTGTCACTTATTAATGTGGAACCCATGTCAGGCTTTTCCTCTAATCCCAGAGCTTGGGGTCGGTTTGACAGTGTCATTACTGGTCCAAATGGAGCTTGTTTGCCAGCTTTCTGCGATGACCAGCAGCCAGATGCCTATTCCGCCTACGTGACAGCAACTCTAGGAGGAGAAGAACTTGAGGCAGTGGCATCTTTCCCAGAAATGAACTTAAATACAATAGGTGTTCAGCAGTCTTACCTCAATAAGCTGCAGTACAGAAGATCAGATCATGAAGATGCCAACGTTAAAAAGACAGCTTTTAAAATAAATGTAGCCAAACCCACTCCCACTGTCCCAGATGAAATGAATGGTCCTATTTACCCTTATGAAAACTTTAAAGAATGTGAAGAGGCTTCATTTAGTGCAGGCCATTTCCGCTTTTACAGAGTCGAAGGAGACAGTTATGTTTATAACACTGTACCATTTGATGAGGATGACCCAATGAGTTGGACAGAAGATTACCTTGCTTGGTGGCCAAGACCATTGGAATTTAGGGCTTGTTATATAAAGGTGAAACTCCGCAGCCCTCAAGAGATCACAGTGAGATCTCGAAACACAGGAGGAACTCATCCTCAGACAGTTGGAGAAATTTATGGCATTCGCGATATGCGAAGTACTCGTGCTCTGGACCATTTGGGCATCTCTGCAGTTTGCTTGGAATTCAAGTGTAGTGGAATGCTCTATGACCAAGAACGCATTGACCGCACATTAGTGAAGATTATCCCTCAAAGTAACTGTTACAGAGAAAGTGTGAACAATATGTTACAGGAATATCTGGTCAACCACCTTCCTCTTGCTGTCAACAATGACTCCAGTGAATTTACCATGTTGGCTCCACTCGATCCCCTTGGCCACAATTATGGAATCTACACAGTAACTGATCAAGATCCAAGGACAGCTAAAGAAATAGCACTGGGGAGATGTTTTGATGGAAGTTCAGACAGCGTATCCAGAGTCATGAAGTCTAATGTCGGTGTAGCCTTGACCTTTAATTGTAATGAGAAGCAGGAGAGTCAGCAGAGTATGTTCCAAAGTCTGCAGAACTCCCCAGGAGACCCAGTGCTGAACAACATGAGCATGGGACGAAGAAAGAGAGGAAGAGGTCAGAGAGATATTTTGTTTGGTCTTCATCTATTCAATAAATACAGAAAGCAGAGAATAGCTCCACCCAGAAAGCAATGGCAGAAGAACCTGCAGTTCAGTGGCCTAGATTAAACAAACCCTTCCCAACAAACAGCCTCACTTGAGAAACTTGATTAGCCAGTTATAAAATCAACACTTCCGGAAGAAGGAAGTCAATTCTGTTAATCCATTGAACTAGGAGATTATTCATCTTTTCTTTTTGAAATGCATAAATAAAAATCCTATTTATTTCCAGTGGTATTTCAAACCTACACTTTATCATTTGGGTCAAGGTTCTAGAGACAGAAGATTTTGTGTCACTTAAGAGTCATAGAGATACGCAGCACAGAAACAGAGCCTTTGGTCCAACTCGTCCATGCCGACCAGATATCCTAAATAAATCTAGTCCCATTTGCCAGCATTTGGCCCATGTCCCTCTAAACGCTTCCAGATGCCTTTTAAATGTTGTAATTGTACTGGCCTCTACCACTTCCTCTGGCAGCTCATTCCATACACGCACCGTTGTCTGTGTGAAAACATTGCCCCTGAGATCCCTTTTAAATGTTTCCTCTCTCACCTTTAAACCTATGCTCTTTAGTTTTGGACTCCCCTACCCTGGGGAATAGACCTTGTCTATTTACCCTATCCATGGCCCTCATGATTTTATAAACCTCTATAAAGTCACCCCTCAGCCACCGATGCTCCAGGAAAAATAGCCCCAGTCTATTCTGCCTCTCCCTATAGCTCAAATCCTCCAACCCTGGCAACATCCTTGTAATTTTTTTCTGAACCCTTTCAAGTTTTGCAACATCCTTCCTACAGCAAGGAGACCAGAACTGAATGCAGTATTCTAATAGTGGCCTAACCAATGTCCTATACAGCCGCAACACACCTCCTTACTCATATACTCAATGCACTGACCAATAAAGGCAAGCATACCAAATGCCTTCTTCTCTATCCTATCTACCTGTGACTCCACTTTCAATTAACCATGAATCTGCACTCCCAGGTCTCTTTGTTTAGCAACACTCCCCAGGACCTTACCATTAAGTGTATAAGTCCTCCCCTGATTTGTCTTTCCAAAATGCAGCACTTCAAATTTATCTAAATTAAATTCCACATGCCACTCCTTGGCCCATTAGCTCATCTGATCAAGATCCCTTTGCACTCTGTGGTAACCTTCTTCGCTGTCCACTAGACCTCCAATTTTGGTGTCACCTGCAAACTTACTAACCATACCTCCTATGTTCACATATAAATCATTTACTTAAATGATGAAAATCAGTGGACCCAGCACCAATCCTTCTGGCACACCACTGGTCCCAGGGCTCCAGTCTGAAAAGCAACCCTCCTCCACCACCCTCTGTTTTCTACCTTTGAGCCAGCTCTGTATCCAAATGCACTTACAGTATACTCGCAGGAAAAATATATTGGAAACAAAATTAATCACCTTTAAATATAATTCATAGCTTGAATCTGCTCCAAACTTAGTTCTTTTGATGCTATTGTATTTTGCGTATCGTTAGTATTTTAAAATGTGCACCCTTTTGTACAATAAATTGCTTCCATTTCAGATTACCTTAACATGATTATTGTGTTAAGATTTATTTCATAATACAATTTTATTTAATTTGAAAGATTTATTCATGTTGAAAGACTATAGAAGCTGAGATTGTTCTCCTTAAAACAAGGACAGTTGACAGGTGATTTAATAGCATTGTTCAGAAGCATGAAATCAAGAACGTTGAAGCAGGAGTAGGCTATTCAGCCCATTGAGCTTGCTCTGCCATTTAACTAGATCTTCCATCTCAACATCATGTTCCTGACCTATCATGATCTGCACTGATATTAATGATATCTAAAATCATGAATGATAGGTCAAATATGGAGAAATGATTTCAAGTGGGAGGTCAGTAACCAGACACAGATTTCAAAGTAATTAGCAAAACATTGAGAAGTGACAAGAAGATTCATTTCTTTACGAAGCAAATTGTCATTACATGAAAGAACTGAAACAATGCTGGATACAGAATCAATAAAAATTTTCAATTGAATTGAAATTGAACAAATATTTCAAAACAAATATTTGCAAAGCTGTTGGAAATGTTAAAAGGAGTGGGACTCTTTTAATCAATTTAGAGACAAAAGGAATATCAAAATCCATCCAAGAAATATTCTGACTCTGTTGGGAAGAAAAATGCAGTCAACAGCTATAGTGAGTCCCGTGAAACCTGAAAAAGAAATAATTTGCTGGCATGACTTAGAGCCAGTAGAGGAAGAGCTCAGCATACTAAACATATAAAAATAAACTACTTTTGGATCAAGAAGCTCATTAAAATTAAAACCAACTAACGGCATTGGAAAATGATGGTACTAAAGAGGGGCATATCTCAAGGAGCAGACAGTTGTTCTCCCAAGGTTTCAAAGGATGAAACTGAAGATATTGCAGGTGCCCAAATATAATCTTACAAAGTTTCATAACTCAGGAGCTGTTCCTTTAGGTTGGAAAAAAGTGAATGCCACTGCTATTTCAGAAAGGTGAAGAAGACAAAAACAATTATAAAGTGACTATATCTAACAGAAAATTACTGAAATTCATAATTAATGATTGAGTAACTTGAACACTTTGAAACCAGCCTTCTGATCAAAGAGAGGCAGCATGGATTTGGAAAGTGTAGGTTGTGCCTCATGAAGGTGATTGAATTTTAAGAGGAGTGATTAAAATGGTGGACAGAGAAATGCCTTCTGGAAGTCAATATAGAAAGTCCATCATAGGATATAGGAGATGGCAGCAGACTGTTCACACTATTGAGCTTTTTTTTATTCACTTATAGGACATGGCATCACTGGCTGGGCCAGCACTTATTGACCATGCCTAGTTGAGAAAGTAGCGGTGATCTCCCTTCTTGAACTGCTGTAGTCCACCTGCTGTCAGTTGACCCACAATGCCATTAGGTAGGGAATTCCAGGATTTTGACCCAGTGAATGCTCTACCATTCAATACAATTATGAGCTTTACTCCACTTTCTTGCCTACTCCCCCTATCCTTTGATTCACTGAGATCTCAAAAATCTGTCTGCCCTAACCTAAAATGTATTGAATGTCTCAGAGCCTATCACATTCCACATCCCATTGTGGATATTTCAATGAAATCATCTATCATCCTTCTAATTTCCAGCAAATACATTGAGTCCTCACTTCGTGTCATTGTTACAGTGCTGAAAGTTGCAAAGTGAAATAGGTTGTATAACAGGTTCCCATTGAGACCAATGTAATAATTAGAGTTAGGTTCCTTTGAACATTACTTGCTCAGAAATAAACAACGTACAGATTGAAATGCTGCACCATATGAGTACAATGTTGGGTATTTCTCACTAAAATAATTTGCAAAACAAAATCACTAAATATTAAAAATGTAATGTTAGGTACCTTGGGACCTTTCTTAGCAGAAAACAACCTTTTATCATTTCAACTCAATGTTTCACATTCCTAAATGCTTACATTCATAAATAAAATAATCTTTAAAATAAAATAGTCACCCCTCAGCCACCGATGCTCCAGGGAAAATAGCCCCAGTCTATTCTGCCTCTCCCTATAGCTCAAACCCTCCAACCCTGGCAACATCCTTGTAATTTTTTTCTGAACCCTTTCAATAATGTAGAAAATTCACTCTAAATGTAATTACTATAAAGAAATGATGAAATTAAACTGACCTGACAAAGTTTTAATTTACTCGACTCCATCTGGTGGTTGAGGCTGGTCAGTGCAGGTAGAATAACTTGCAACAAACAACTTATTTCAAGTTCATAGTAGTAGCCTGGAGAAAAGCAGGTACCAGGGCTTTGAAGGCAGCAACAGAAGATAGGCGAGGGACCTGTGGTCGGGGGGTGGGGACTGAAGTCAGGGGCACAAACTGGAGAAGCCAGAAACTCAGCCAGGACTGAAAGGGGTAGCGGAAACTTGGAACAAAGCAGGTTTAGAGAGCAGACAGGCAGCAAAACAGGAAATCTGTGACAAACAGCATTAAACTGAAACTCAGTATACTAAGCAAACATACTGTCACTATTTTATCAATTATATAAAAACAAAATAATGTTAATTTTAGATGGGGACTTACTGTAGAGCTCCAATTTATTCAGCCTGTAATTACAGAGCTACTCTGTCATTCAATCTAGTGAGTAAAGAGATCAAGTGACTATTCATTAAATTTGAAAGCCAAGGAACTGAAGACAAATAATTCAGAAATTAGCTGAATTGTAGGTGACATAAAGTAGGCACAATAGGCAGAGATTCTCATTGGCAGAACGTGTGAGTGTTTCCTACAGAGTCTGTGTTAGGATCTCAAATATTCCCAATCATAGATTAAGGACTTGAGTGATGGGACAGAAAATCATATATCCAAATGTGCTAAGCTAATGACACAAAAATAGACAGAATTGTAAGGAGTATATCTGGCAGCATAATGTTACAAAATAAATATAGATTAAGTACAAAAATGGGCAGAACTGTGGCAGTGGATTTCGATTCCGACGCAGCAGCGAGCCACATAATTTTTAATTTTTGAACAAGTGTCATACTAGACTTGGAACATTAACTCTGTTTCTCCAGCAATCTTGCTGGATTGTTTGTTCCTGCTTGCATGGTCAGATCCCTGGAATCCTCAGAATTTCACAGGAGGAACGTAGGGGGATTTGGAGCTGTGGAGGGGACCTCTTGTCTGGAGCTGTCGTTCAGGGTCGGGTTGTGATGGATGGAGCTGCCAAACCACCTTATGGAAGGGAAACTGGGAGGGCATTGCTGAGGATCAGCTTCTTGTTGGGGGTGTACTGGATTGCCAGAGTGTACAGGCCCGAATAGGACCCCTGCAGCCAGTTTAAGCAGGTACTCTTGGCTGGTCAAGGACAGCTAGCCTGGGCAACGACTGAAAGCTGAGGTAGGCAGGAACTGCATCTGGTTGCTGTGGGAAGGTGGTGGAAAGGTGCCCAGACTCTGGCCATGAAGTTAATAGACCAGAAAGCCATCAACCTCAGTGAGCCACCAGTAAAGGCTGGGGGCTCCCAGACACTCCCCCAATGGGTAGTCGGCTTGGTGGTGCACGTTCCTGCCAATCTCAGAGACTTGTGATACTGTCTTGGCACAGCTGGGCTTGAAAAGCATTTTCAACAACTTATGGAAGTTTTCTTGTTTGCAGTCATTCATTCTGGTGGCAAGACTTGATTTTTTTTAAAAGTTCCCTTTAGGGTCAGTTAACTTTAGAAATCCAAACCCCATGCATTATTTTCTTGAAATGGAGCTATATATAACATTGATTAGACACAGCTGGAGTACCGCATGCAGTTCTGGTCTCCACACTATAGGAAGAATGTGATTGTACTGGAGAGGATGCAGAGGAGATTCGCTAGGATGATGCCCAGACTTGAG